GGAACAATCACCCCTAGTGGCCTGAATGTGGGATTTGATTTGAATTGTTTCATCAGTGATACCTGACCCTTCAGATAAGGGTTGTTGTTTCAATAGTCCTAGGTATAATTTGGGGTTTCAATTCTTTTAACATTTATCATTTTGTACCTATTCTTTTATCCATTTTAACTTTATTACATCACTGCTCTATGAATAGGGGGATTTTGACAAAATATACTATTGCTATGTATTATTCCTGTACGAGTTTTATGAATTTTTAACTTGTAGATTTACATGAATAGGTATATTTTTAGTAAAATACATAGGGTGGAGCTGGAGACTGTCAGAGGAATTTGATTGTGATTGCAGCTGCCTACTATATGACGATTTCTATTGGAGGCATGTGAGTTATTTTTATTAAACACGTTTTAGTTATTACTGGCAGTGTACACTATGTGTTGTTTTATTTGTTTTGCACATGAATGTGGGAGTATAAAGCCTGTGACACACAGCATGTAAAGCCTTGCGGAGCAAAGCTGTGAGGCACGGACGTTCACATGCAGTGTGATAGCTGAATGCGGCTAGATGAAAGACTGCATCTTCAGCCAATCAGCTTGCGCGTAACAACCGAATGGACTTCACATCCTGACGTGCAGGTTTATACATGGGAGCCGATTGGCTGAAGATGGAATTTTTCATCTTGGCCCACTCAGCTTTGCAAGCTCTCCCAAGCTGACGCCCTGGAGTGAAAAATGACATAGCACAATGCACGCGATGCTCCACGCACCACCGCTCCACGCTACTTCTGGTACAGTGCGTCACAGGCTTTATAAGGAGAAGGAAAGGAGGACCATTTCCTACATCCAGGTGTTTATACTACGGCTGCTGAGAGACAACTGGGGAGGATTATCTGATATGATCAAAGGTCTATCCCGTCTGTAATACAAAAGGGGATGCGTGCTCTGTTGACCTAGAATTGGGGTCTACTTGCCAGGTGAACGACACTCTTAAGGGTGGGGTGGTGGAGGTTTTTTGATTTGAAGATTGTCAGCGGATGTTAAATGATGGTGGAAACCACAGACTAAGCCCTCGTTCACACCTGAACGTTTTGTAGCGCGTTCTACGCTCAACGAACGCCCTACAAAACGCTCAAAAATATAAATCCCATTGTATTCAATGGTCTCGTTCCCACCTTGGCGTATTTCCGCCCGTCCCTAACGCGCTACAAAACGGCCCACGCCTGAAAAGGTACAGGTACTACTTTGGGCCGTTTTGTTGCGCGTTTCCATTGGGATACAGCCAAGTAGCCTTCGGAAACGCGCAACGAATCGCGGTAAAAAAACGCGCGACGGTTGCGCATATGCAATACGCCTAGGTTGAACGAGACCTTAAAGAGTGACTTTAACCAAATGTACTGTCCATTTTTCCTTTTTTGGGATTTTTCTTTCTTCAATCAATACTTCATCTAAAAGAAGCTTGAGTTGGTCTCTTTATGAAACACTCCAGATCTGCATATACTCACAATAATTTTGGAGGCCTTACCCAGACTCCACTGGAAGGGACGATTGCAGGATCTACCGATAATATGACCTTTGAGCAGTGGGTTCCACATTGAGGTACTCTACAAATCTTTGTGTTCTGAGTTTGTCACAGAGAACTTTCCAGGTTTCCAAGTGTGGCACAACTTCTGTTGTGACACTGTTTCTGAAGATTCATTTAATTTAGGAATAGGCCATGTGGACTAAGTATCGGAAGGTACTTAATTTATTGAAACTTTTGGGCACCATTATTTATCCCTGTTTTTCTGTTGGTTTTCCACAGAAAGGGTTGTAACACTGGGGGACTGAGTGCTGCACCTCTAGTTGGAGTGTCAAACAAGCACACTTTTCGCCTTGTTCCCGCTGTTCAGCGTGAGTTAGCTCCTTCCTGCCACTTCGCCTTAGCATAAGAGACAGGCAGCTTCACCTCAGTTAGTCCTTGCTGCCATCTACAGTGACCTGGTAACCTCCGGCCATTTGAACCTCTCTTGCTTGCAGCAGCCAGTTGGCAGTTAAAGTAGTCCCCACTTGAGGTATAGCTTGTTGGATGCCAAACACATGTGGAGCAGTGCCACTGTATTGAGTCCCTCTGACTCAAGTTCAGGGATTTCTTGGGTGTTCCTGCTCAAAGACAAGCCTCAAACACTTTCCCCTGTTTGAATGTCTTCACTTCTTGGAGCCTTCCTTAGCTTTGTCAGGTGAGGACCCCTCCTCGATTTTAACCTAAGAGGATTTCCCTGCAGTTATGCAGGATTTCATGGACTACAATGTTGCACATTTGCCTTTTGATTCTCACCCTAGAGGCCATATGCATACCTATATGCCTTCCCCTGCAGAATAATCTTTTACCCTACCTACACCCTTAGTGGTCTCTAATGCTTTTGTTTTGGAGGCTCTATCTGATGAACAATCTCAAAAGTCCAATCCTTGCCAGTACCTGAGAAGTCACAGGCAGTTGCCATAACTTCCAAACTTTTAGAGACCATTTTGGCATTTATTGATACCAACTTAAAGATGGAGGAGCAGCCTGTAGCTTCCACTAGTTCTGCTACCTGTCTAGGATCCCTGAGAAGGCCATAAGACTACTAAAACTTCTCCTATGCACTCATATTTCCCAGACGCCCTGAGCGCAGACTAGAAAACTACTGATAGATTTTTTTACACCTCCTAAACGTTTTGCAGTCCAATACCCATTTATGGAGTCCTTTATTAAGAAGTGGTCTGTTCCTACCATTGATATGAAAGTCTCCGGTCTTAGTTGAGCACTGACATTTCCTGAAGAGGATGCGCCAGAAGCCTAGGCATCAAGCCTGCCTAGACTTCAACCTCTAAGGCCAGTCCCAAGCCAGGAACCCAGTTTCACCACAAACCCTGAGCCCTTAAATCTGCAGATACACAAATCCACTTTCCGAAGCGGGGGGCTGCTTCTAGCTTTTGCAACCTACTGGTTACAGTGAGTAGTTTCCAGGGGTACAAACTAGGGTTCCCTTCTCAGCCTCCTCCCATGAACTCCAAACTTTCTGTGTCATCTCACAGAGAAGCAGACCTCCATGCAACTTAATCCAAAGTTTTTGTCTGCAAGAAAAACTTCAAACTCTCCACTCCCAGACTCAAACTCTTTAGTCCTAGAGTCGACTGAGTTTCTGCATGTGAATCCTGGCACTGAAGGTAGCCTCTTCCAAAACAGCTTCTTTTGTCTAGTTCCACTTCGTGCCCTTACAATTTAACACCCTATAATTGTGGGACAAATTGGTTCAGTCTCTGTACAAACCAATTCACCTGTCAAAAAGGACCTGGTTTTCTTTGGACTGTTGCCTCAGGAATCCAGGTCTGGATTTGGGGAAAATCTTCCTCTGGTCTCTTGGATGATTGTCCCAACAGATGCCAGAGAGACAAGCTGGGTAAGCATTGTAGACACTTTGTTGGTACAGGGGACTGGGATGCCAGAGGAATTCTGTCTCCTAATCAGCATTCAGGAGCTTCTGGCCATTTGGTTGTCCCTACCTTTCCTCCCCTAAAACCTCTTCCTAATCTGCTCTGCAGAATCAAGATGAAGGGCATTTTGGTGAACCTCATAGCACCAAATTGGCCCTGACTACCATCAAGGGGCAAATATTTGCATTTGTCATTTTGTTGCAAAGACTGTTAGGCTTCCATTCTTTGATTTAGATCTTTGTGTAGGACTTCCCCTTTCCATTCACTTGTCAATCCATGGCATTTGCATTTGGTTCTCTTGGCTCTTCAAAATCTACCTTTTGAACCTATCAGGGATATTAAACTTTCCACTCTGACAAAGTTGCTTTTTTTTTGTTGCTATTGCCATCTTTGTGAGACATGTGTCTGAACTGGTGGCTTTGTCCTGTAAAGAACCCTTTCTGGTCTTGCATAAAGACAAGATAGTGGGTTCAGCCTTTCACCTTAACCGGGACATTGTGCTTTCATCCCTTTGTCTGAAAATGTTCTTCTTTTTCTGGATGTAGTTCAAGCTGTGTACATTTATCTCACAGCCACAGCTTCCATTAGAAAGACTGACTATCTTTATAATTCCTGATGGTCCCAGCAAAGGGTAAATAGCTTTGCGTTCAACTATTTCTCATTGGCTTGAACAGATCAGTGTTTAACCTTATAGTCTCTTTTTTGTCAAGGCACATTCTAATAGGTCTGTGAGTGATTCTTGGGCTTTCCTGGTTCTCTGTTGCTCTCTGAGTTTTGCCATGTGGGTCTTCAGGCCTCATCTGATGCCAGCTTCGGGAGTAAGGTCCTTCAGACAGCTCTTTCAGCTGCAGGCAGTTCCCAGTTTTCTGTTGTTGACCCCTCAGTTGGGTTGCACTTGGATGTTTCAAATGTGTCTGAATCCTGTGTCTCTCAGTAAGCAAATTAAAAAAATTGATTTTTGTACTCACTGTAACATACTTTTCTTGAAGTTCATTGAGGAACACAGGCCTCCACCCTTATTCTCACTACTGCTTTGTTGCAAAACAGAGGCTTGCTGGGAGTGGGATGGGATATACCAGGCTGGTCATTATTTTTTTGTTTGTCAGTGTCCAAATCCTCCTGTACGTGGTTGTAAAACCCAAATGTCTCTAAATATTCTGTTCCTCAGTGAACTCAAGGAAAAGGATTTTACAGTAAGTACAAAGATCAAATTTTAAAAAACAACATTATTTAACAGCATCTGCCACTGAAAGCCATTGCTATCTTTGGTTGTATCTGCTCTGCTTAAAGATGAAGGAACCTAAAAGGGCCGCCAAAACCTCTCTTAATTTCCAGAATTGCAGGGTCCATAAGGGAGCACCAAAACAACACATCTGTGATGAGAACTCCTAAATGGCATTTCCTTTCACAGTTTACAATTGGTTAAAATGTTGCGTAAGATTGTTTTAAGGTGCAAATGTTTATAATGTCTCCTTAGTTCCTTAGCTTTCTGCTTTCTGATCAGTCTGAGTCATTACCCATTTTGTTTAAACCCTGCTTTCTTCACAGATGAGCCAACAAGTCCAAGTATTGACCTGCGAGCTAAACATGTCCCAGCATCCTGTGTTGTATCCACTGCTATCAGCTCTGCCCCTATGATTTCTGGCAGCCCTACTTCCCCAACATTCAGCTTTGCTGTCAGTCGTCACTATTCTCAGGACTGCAGTAAGTACCCTCTTAAATGATCCTGTCATGCAATCTAGTCTCAGTAAGTTTATTTTAGGTCTTCCTTTATTTTGGTCACCAAAGTGAGATGTAACACTTAATATATGTGAACCGAAAATCAGTGGGGGTAATTCCATTTTCCCAAATTCGTCTTGGAAAGTGGAATTAACTTGTAATTTTTTTTAAATTGGGTATTTGTTTGATATTGTTGTATTTGAAAAGAAACTCTGTTACCTAGCAACATACTGTGAGAGGACTCAAAAGACAGCTGCCAGACCCTAATTCCTGGGCTGCTTGAGAGGTCAGTGGGGGTGGTAGCTTTAATCTAAGGCCCGATTCACACCTAGGTGACAGCGTTTTCGTGCGTAAAAAACACACATTTTTTTGCTGCACATTTTCGCAAATCTTTACACTTATAAAACACTTGTGCAGTAAGTCACATGTTTTTATGAGCTGATTGTAACACATTGATATAAATGGGCAAAATGTGCACAAAAACGTGCAAAACCAATTGCAATGCGTGTTTCCAAGCATTTTTTATTGACTCTATGGGGGCAAAACGAGCTGTAATCTGCCACAAAAAAGCTCATGTACTTTTTCCAGCAACAAGCATTTGCTTATTGCGACAAAACGCTCAGGTGTGAACATAAGAATGAATGGGATTTTTTTTGTGAAGCATTGTGTCGCGCTTATTCAGCTGCAACAATACGCTTAGTGTGAACCAGGCCTTAGACTTCTTAAACAGGAAATTTGTACAGTAGAGACTACAGTGGCTGGAATTAAAATTGATTATTTTGGGGGGTTGTATCATTTGATTTACACAACATACCTACCACTTTGAAGATGCAAAATATTTTTTATTGTGATACAAACAAGAAATAAGATTTAAAAAACAGAAAACTGCAGCGTGCATAACTTTTTTTCTACATTTTGCAGAAATTACAGCTGCAAGTCTCTTGGGGTACAACTCTATAAGCTTGGCACATCTTGACACTGGGATTTTTGTCCATTCTTCAAGACAAAACTGCTCCAGCTTCTCAAGTTGGATGGGTTTCACTGGTGTACAGCAATCTTTAAGTAATTCCACATATTCTCAATTGGATTGAGATCTGGGCTTTGACTAGGCCATTCCAAAACATTTAAATAATTCCCTTTAAACCACTTTAGTGTTGCTTTAGCAGTATACGTAGGGTCATTGTCTTGCTGGAAGGTGGACCTCCGTCCCAGGTTTTTTCTTGATTTCACTCCACCATTTTGGACTATTTTGTGTATGTCCATTAGATGTAGTCCAAATAAAAATCAATTTAAATTCCAGATAGTAATACAACAAAAAAGGAAAAAATGCCAAGTTCCCTCATGCATCCTGTTTTGGGCTCAGCCCTGATGTATTAGACAGGTGTCTTACTGGTTTAAATTTTTACATCAGGATCTGATCAAGTAGAATGCATTGCAACAGGTCAGGTTGTGAGAGGTTGTGTCAAAATGGCTTTCCTTTCAAATGCTCTTCATGTGCACTGTAATGGCATAAATTTAAAAAAAATGTTAGATATTTTTATCAGTTTTGCCTTGCATACCCACCAGTTTTTTTTAATTGTCATTGATTTCTGTTTCAGGTAGCATTAAGTCGAGCCGGCGTTCTTCATATCTTCAAGCAATTACCACTGAACGCTCAAAATCTTGTGACGATGGCCTCAACTCTTTCCGAGATGAAGGTCGACTTCAAAGGTGAGGGTGTGGTAAGCTGCTGCTGATGTTTCTAAATCAGTATTAGACCTAAGAGTATTACAACAGTTGTACGATATTGAAGTACAGATTGCACCCAATGCGAAGTTTACATTGATTCATTGACCAGCTTTCTACAGATGTATGTTGAGAAATTGTAAGGACACAGTATTCCATATTTTTGTAGTTCCCTAAAAGTGTGCAAAGTATGCAGTTAGGCTTACTTTTAGTGGTCTTTAAACCACTTGCTGCCCAGAGAAATTTCTTACATTTGCACACACATGATAAAATCTGAATTTTTGGCTAGAAAACAGTTTCAGAACCCCAAAGAATGTATATATATATAGATCTATCTATCTATCTATCTATCTATCTATCTATCTATCTAGATATATATATTTTTTACAATAAATTCTTTATTTAAAGAGGAGTTTTTGTGTTTTCCGTGTATACATAGAGTTCCACAAGTGGGTCCAAATATGAAAAAACATGCATGGTATCAGTAGTACAAATTAGACTTAAGTTGCGGACAAAAGTACCAAACAATATAACTAGAACAAATGAAAAATAAAAGGGGGGTTAAACGTCAGGACCCAGATCCAAATGATGACGAAGGAGTGCTGATGCGAGACCCCCTTGGGTGGCCTCAATGTCGTGAGCGGGCGCGGATCAGGACTGTGTTTGTGAACAGGGGGCCTGGATCCCTTCTACATTCTGAATTTGTCGGGGGCGTTATGGAGGGAACTGGTAAGGTCCTCCATAAGGTAAATGTCGTGAATCCTATCAAGCCATTGGGGTATGGTGGGGGGTTTGGGATTCTTCCACAGGGCTGGGATAAAAGCTCGGGCTGCATTAACTAGGTGGCGCACAACAGATCGTTTGTAGGCCTTGGTCAAGAAGTCATTATGGTGCAGGAGGAAGAAGGCCGGGTCTCGAGCAACTGGGAGGTCAGTGAATTTTTTAGCGGTGGCGTGGACCTGGTCCCAAAATGCACAGAGTGAGGGGCATGACTAGAATATGTGGAGGATGTCTGCTGATGGGCCGTCGCAACGCCAGCACATGTCAGGGGTCTGGGGGTACATGGAGTGTCAAATTTGTGGTGTCCTGTACCACCTGGTGACCAGTTTGTATCCGGACTCCTGGTATTTATTGCTAAATGATTTTCCAGGGGCGCCGAGTCTAAGAAAACTATTATCGTCTATTCCCGGGGGGAAGGCCGGGTGTAGGAGTACGTCTGGCGTGGTGTTTTCCTGAAAGAAGAACCGTAGCTCCTGTCCTATGGACGCTGAGATGGTAGGGTCATGAAGTAGGGATTAATTCAGTCTCCACTGCCAGGGGCCAGGAGGAGGGCCGTCTAGGGAGAGGCTAAGGAGGATGGGGGCATGGTCAGAGAGTGATGTTTCCAATGTCAGTTGATGTAACTCGAGGGAGTTGACTGTGATGTACGAAAAAGAAATCGATGCGGGTGTAACGCCGGTGGAGGTGGGAAAAGAAGGTGTAATTCCTTGTGGAGGGGTGTTGGATTCGCCAGACATCAGCCAGCTGGTGGTCAAAGGAGACATTTCTTTATGCGGTTCAACTTAGCGAAAGATAGGTGAGAGGAGGATGCGGAGGAGTCCAAACTCGGGTCCAGCACAAAATTGAAGTTGCCCCCTAGCACCAGGAGACCCTCCCGGAAGTTGGCCAGAAGGCCCAGGACACGAATCAAGAAGGGGATTTGGTCATGGTTAGGTAGGTACAGATTCGCGAAGGTGACAATCTGGGATCCAATGGAACCCTTCACGAATAGCACCCGGCCTTCCTCTCCAGGATATTGGTCAGTCATGGTCCAGGGTAGTGTGCGGGACAGGACGATACTAACCCCTCAAGAGCGTTTGTCAGGTGAGCCACTGTGGTAAACCGTAGGGTAACGGTGGTCCCCAAAGCGGGGGATTTGGTCAGTTCGGAAGTGAGTTTCCTGAAGGAGCGCTGCGTCAATGCCCTGACGGGGGAGGATCATAGTGCATTTTTCCAGGATATTGAGGCCCTTAGCGTTCAGGGATAGGATCCGAAGGGAAACCGGACAAGGAGGGAGGGGTGAGGCAGGGGGGAAA